GTTAAAATGTATATACAGTGTGTGGCAAAAGAGTAACAACCTGGGAATTTTGATTTTATATATCCTAAGATTATATATAAACATTTTCTCATAGTAATAACGTATCGCTTACGCCTCGCCTTTGAAGCGACAATAGATTGTCTCTAACATTCCAAGCCACTCTATATGCACATAATTAGGTAGGGTGCTTATAAATCCCAAGCGACTCCATCGTATAGTTAATTGTATTGATTGAAATAGGAAAACTCTCGATAAAGTAGTGGCAAATATTAAGTTAATTGAAGAAAGTGCGGTCATCTTGATCCTACTTAAACAATTAAACGCGTAGTCTTATGATCATAAACGTATATAGTAACACCTTCTAATTTACAAACTAATGAACCGAATTGCATGTAGGTATGGATGACAGTTTAATCAACTCACAGGAAATAGCTTATATTGATACTCGAATTATGCGTATCTTTAAAATAAAAAATTCCCTTTATTTTTTGAACGCATACTTTCACAAAGTTCATTTAGAACTAATGATATTTTGGGGTACGAAAATATATGGACGATGGGCGATGGTTGATGGTCCATATCATTTTCAACGATTTCGACTTTGTTGATTGTTGTGCAAAATTTTCAAACGAAAACGTACAGTTCACCTAATTTAGATGCGTGGGATTTACCTTTGTTTTGGTACCGAAAATTAGGGCTTCGCGAACAGGTGTAGGAGTCGATCAAAAAAAAAAGAATAAAACTAAATAAGCTAATTAGTGGACTTATGAAAGGCGTATGTAAAACTAGGTCAGACGTAGATTGTCCTAAGAATACTTTACTTCATAATTCCGGCTACTTTTTGCACACAAAAAAATTTATGAAGTAGTCCCTCATTTGATTATTAATTTCTTTATTCCAAACTTAAAGATTTTTAAGCTGAATTGACACTAATGGAAAAACCTAGGGGTAGTTTTTCGAAAATTTGTAAGCTTCAAGACAGTTGCTATTGTCTCTTAATCTATTGTTTAAGCAAAATCCCACCACATCCGTTTGTTAAGCAAAAAATATCCGCTTACATTGTCAGTAAGAGCTTTTGCTACTACCTACCTAACGTCTACACTTTGTAGCATCAGCGTTGTGTGCTGAATTAGACAGAGGACAAGGACTTGCGGACCAAAATGTAACCAATAGACGACGTTCTCCAATGGTTACGACAATTGCATTCCATCCGGGCGATCTTACTAATCGTTAAACGCGAAGTAATCTTCCACGTTGGCAAAGCGAGCCCTATCTAACAGTTCAACATATAATGCTCTCAAGACTTTCGGGATAACCATAGTCCTGGGGTAATACTCCCCACAGAATCCGTCTTTAGCTGGCGTATGACTCCAATGAGCTTACATGCAGCTACTCTACATAAGGCGTCTTTATGAGTGGACGCGCTGGCATACTCAAATATACTATAATACGTTTGGATTGTTGTCTTTACGCAGTGTAACGACTCTAATATTCCACGCATACACCCATCTCTGATTATCATCCAAAAAGAGGGCACAACATGGTAATGAACTTTTCCAATTACATTAATACCTTTTTGCTTCCAAAACTATATGTAATCAAAGACCTTTGTAAAATTATGAAAATCTTGCTGGCTACATGGAAAAGAAATCTTCAAATAGACGGCTCCCAAAACTCTCGATGTCTTCCTCATAGAGAGCTTACACATTTAAATGTCTTGTGTCACTAATAAGTAAATATTTGTCCAGTAAATAATTTCACGCGAGACGACATGCAAGTAAAAGGCGAACACCGGATTCATTTTCTAAGTAATGCTTCATGCTTTACGATTAAATGAGTAAAGCTAATCCGAAGTTAATTTTGTTACAAATAAAATCAAGTCAGAGCAAAGATATTGCTATGACACACTATTGCTGTTGCTTTTCTTAAAAATGCTCCCTTCTGTTCAACACTTGATTCAAGCACTCGAGATATAGAATGCATTGCCATGCATTCGTGTATTCAAACCCAGATACGGTTACCCAACTTATCTACACGTCGATAGCCAGGCTGACGAACATAGTTGTTTCTGCTTCGTTCAATTGTCATCGTGCAGTGTAATTTCATAAATCCATAGTTTCACAAATTACAAATGAAGTCATGATTATTAGTAAACATATCGTTTGTCCGGAATAATGCTTCACATATTGAATTATGGTATTTTTTTGGTCTGAAAATATTTACATTTATAATTTGAATTAATTAGAGTTCATTTAAACAACGTTACCATGCCTTCACCTTTCAAGTTGCTTAAAGCCGCCACTTGATAAACAAAAGTCCATATACTAATTTTTCCATAAAAAAAATTGATTTTTATGTAAGTAATTATGCATCTTCGCTAGCTTGCTTCTCATGTGTAAATATTATTGTAAACATTATTACAAAATGTCTGCAAACAAGCTGTGCGCGTTTCTTATTCATTCAGCATAACGTAGTACGCATATTTAATTTGAGTTCAATCAGCGAACTATTGATCTAATTCAGTTTTTTTGTTCACCAAAATATAACAAAAGAAATCTTTATCTGAACAGATGTCTTTGTTGGTCTAACTTGGAGACACTACTTTGTCGGTTTGGCCCCACAGTGCCCGATTATATACGGGTTAATTTTGCGTAATCGGCGCCCTTCACTGAGTTAGACAATCCCTATAGCTAGGCACCTAAACTACACTGGAGAAACCAGATATGCTCAATAAACTCACTCCTCGGAGTGTTGAGGCCTTATCTTAACTATTTGTCTTAATTATTCGCTTTAGGAATGATAGAAATTACAACTATCACGATACCCCCCGCAGAGCCGTACCCAGAAGTCAGGACTCACACATTGGTTAACTCCTACGTCCAAACAGGGGACTGGATATAACAGGTTTCACCGTGGTTTCTACATATGTGAAAATATGCAAGCTTCTCCACGAAGGATCTTGGCACGCACGAATCTGCAGTACACCAATGCTGTGGGCTCCTGACCTCCGAGGAGCTTAAAGTTAGACTATAAAGCCTTTAGCCTTACTTTACGCGACATAGTCTGTCTTACCTTTGGATCAACCATACAATTCCAGTTAACCAACACGGAACCACCATCCTTCAAGATATATTAGCATCGGGCGCTACAACTGACATTGCGGGCGGTACCATGCTCTCGACTATTACTACATCAACGTATTTTACGTACCAGCCTGTTGCTTAGTATCTCCTTCTTAGCAATAGTGTATAAGAAAAGAGTGCTTGTTCCAGTGTACCCTAAGCTATCTATCAAAAACCTTGTCACCATGTTATAGATAGTCAAAGCTTTAAAATCTTCTTCGCCGGTCAAGACCGTTTTGCAGGGATCTACACGAGGAAGTGAGAGGTTCGGCACATAAATGTTCCCCCAAAAGCAGAGTTTATCACTTAAAAAAGAGACCTTATCCTAACAAAAAGACATACATATATAAGACATACATCTATAAATATATATAACGTAAAGTATTTAAAAAAATTTTTGCACTCAAACACCAACAGCCGCAGCCAGGGTATGAACTGACACAAGATTATTTATATTATAGTTCTTTGTCGTGGCTGAATTTTTAGCAATAAATTCAAAATAATTTTTACGCCTTTGACATTCATTGCTCAGATTTACTTACTGCTTTACTCAGGTTCGCATACCTAACCTCAAACTTTGACATGCCACTACTGTATTGCTTGGAAATATTTGTCAAATATACGATTACACACAGATCAGCTAGTTAAGGATTAATTATTTCAATTTGATAGTCTTTCTTGCCAATTTAACGCAGTTCTGATTAAATTTCATTCTTTCGTAAGAGGAGCAGATGTCACTTTAATTTTCCTACAAAAAGATTTTTTTTTTTTTTTTTTTTGCTTACTTTTGTTTGTTATGTGCAACATTAGCGTTGCGCCATTTGTTTGTTTGTTTGTAGCTTAGCAACTACTTGTTTAAAAATCAAAAGAAAAGTTTTAAGTTTGTTCATGAAATGGAAAAGACAGAGTCTTTATAAGGGCAAAATTTGTGGACTTTGGGATTACATGCATTAATAATGTGTGCTTGTGCTTGTTTTTGTGCTTGTATATTTGCATAATCCGATTTTTAAAAGTATTAAAGGAATTTTTTTGTTTGTTATAATTTCTTAATCAATTTTTGTGGAAGAAAAATGTTGCTGTTATTTTACTCCAAACTGTAGATTTAAGCTGCTTCTAAATCAAAAATAAAGACGAAGACGAAGACGACAAACATATGCTTGGTCTCTCAGGTGATTAAAAATTTTGTAAGGTTTGTTAAATTTGAAAGAAAAAAAAAAACCCAAAGACAACAACAAGACAGACAGACAGACACACACACACACACACACATTTTATATGTCTGAAAGATTGCAATTGTGCATATACCGCGCGAGTATGAGTCCAATCCAAGGTGTATTGTGCAATAGACACATTTCAGGCTGCAAGTTCAATGCAACACAATAAAATTGACCTTAAAAGGTATGTGTCTACGTACGATTGCAAGCACTTACAGTACCAACCATATGATGCGATGTTAATGTCAGAGTGCCAGCGTATATAACTATTTCTGTATAATTCCCACATGTGTTCTAGTTTTGTGTCGACTTCGAGGTGACAAACAACAATCATGTAATTAAATTAAAAAATTTTCTTTATACGAAATCTTTTGTGTTTTAAAAAAGCCAATGTCATGCGAATTGGGTTTTTTCCCCTTCTTATTCTTATTCTTCTTCTTATTTCTTATATACATGCACGTCTGTATATAAATAATTAATTTACGATTAAAAACACGTATTGTTTTCGTTTGATTTTCTTTTTTCTCTTTTTTCCATTTTTTTTTTCTTTTCTACTAAAGTGCACTTTATAAATGTTTAATTTATAAAAAAAAAAAAAAAGAAGTATAAAATTGCTTTTTTCGTTTAAAAAAAAAGTCTTTGCTTTTCGTTTTAATTGGTCCTTTTAATCGTCATTCAAATCGCCCACCTGCCCATTGACCACAGCGTAATTAAGTTTACCCTGATGATTGGCTGAGGCCCAATTGCGTCGCGGCAAAATTCTACCAAAGTTAAAATATTTTTGCCTCAACTTCTCTTTGATTTCGTCTTCATTCATAATGGCGCTCGCTTCGCGAAAATTCAAAAAAATCCTTCCTTTCTCATCGGTTTTAATGGGTAAAATTTCTGTACACACATTTCGGGCCTTTAAAAGGAAACCTTCCTTTTCATCATTCAATTCTTCTTCTGCTTCGTCGTCCTCGCCATCTTTGTGATCAAGATTTTCAGAGTCAGCCAATCTCGAGTCCATTGATTGAGAGCGACTAGGCTTGCTATGGTTACTTAAAATTGTATGTTTCTTTTTGTTCCGCAAATAAAACGGGTCTCTATCGCTTGCCTTTACATACTGAACTACAGGACGATTGACGCCCCATTTCGGTCGTTCGTCCATTTTGTGACGCTTCTTCTCTTTCTCCTTAGTCTTAGCCTTAAAGGTAGTCGTAGTAGTTGTGGTAGTTGTAGTAGTTGTTTCATGATCCTTTTCAGTCTCTTTAGCCGGCTTGCTATTGCTCTTTGATGTCTGAGTAGTGGTGGTAGTCGAAACTTCTCGCTTAAGTAACACTTTATAAAAATTGTCATGAAATAGACATAAATCGCAATTCAATGGCAGTTCAGTTTGCGTTTCCACATCTTGACGATCCACAGATTCCTCGAAAAATTCTCTTAATTCCGGTTCTCCGTTGACATCCTCTGCTCTAAGCTCGCTTCCTGGCATTAATGTCAAATCTTTTGGTTTCATCATTTGTTCCGCTTCTTCCAATCTTAAACAGTTATCTATTTTTTTATCCTGGATCTGCTCCGTGCTTGTATCGGTTACTTCGGAGATTAATTCCTCTTTTGCGATGGCAGAATTCGGCTTCATTTGTTGTTGCATCAGATACGTGGCTATTTGAAGATTACCTATAGCTGTTTGTAAACCCAAAATATCTGTCGTGACTGGTAAAGGTATCAAGGTGGCCGGTTGCATAATCATTACATTTTCCGTATTCTGATATTCTGTCCGTTTATTATTTTCACATGTTTCGACCGGTTTGGGTTTAGTGAAACTTTTTCGCAAATTAATGGGCGTGCCAATTAAAACTTTTTCTTCACTTTCTTCATCCTTGGTCTCTGGTTCAAATTTTTCCTCCATTTTGTAAAGTCCTTGACACTTTTCTTGACTTTCATGAGTCTCCTCAATTTCTTCCTTAATTTCTGTTTCTCTTTCCTGTTCCATTCTATCGATATATTTATTACGTTTTTTTTGTTTTTCTAATTTTGCCGCCATTTCTGCTTTCACAATTGCATCCAGCATTGCTTGTTGCTTACGTTTTTGCGCTTCTTCTCTCTCTTGAACTTGCTGACGTTCTATTTCTAGGCGTTCTCGCTCCAATTGCTTCTGCTTACGTATACGTTCTTCTTCTTGACGCTCCTCCAGTCTGTAACGTTCCATTTCCCATCTTCGTTTCGTCTCTTTTTCGTGCAGTTGCTGTTTAATCGCCTGTTGATATTCTAAAGCTTTACGCTTCTTATCTAATCGTTCGGCCATGGCTTGGGCATCAACCGGTACATTTTGACCCCTAAGATAAGTGGAAGAATGTAACGATTGGTTATCATCTTCGCTATCCTTTAGATCGTGATGGCCGCGGTTTAACCATCCCGGACCGTCTGCGTGCTGTTGCTGTTGCTTACATTGATAATCTTGCATTTGACCATAAGACCATTTGGCTCGTTCTCGTTCCTCATGAGCCCGTACATAAGCATCCATTTCATTTGTAGATGAAGATATCTCATAAGTATTGGAAGTGGATACATCACGGCTAACGTTAGACGGTGTTGAGTTAGAGACTACGTAATAACTGAAAAGTAGAAAACGATAAAAATGCATTTCTATCGTATTTAAATTTTTAAATTACCCTCCTTCGCCTTGTGCGTTAGTCAGTCCGTCGTCATCATAGTTGGGCAAACGTTGTTGTTGTTTATTTCCACGTCTACTTACTATAAAGGTTTTATTTAACGTTTGCGAATGCTTATCATCAGGCTGTTGACCTTTAATCGTTATCGGTTCATTAGCAACTATTTTCTCTCTATAAATTAAACCGTCACTTCCACCTACACCCATAGCACTGCTCTCATTACCACCACTAACAATACTTTCAATTTGACTTGCACCATCGTTAAACCATATGTTGGGGGTGTGTGTGTTTTTTGGCGAATCACTTATATAACCGGAAGTATCTTCCTCCTGGCAACCGTTGTTTTCAGGCTGTTGAACGTTGTTTAATCGATGTGCCAAGTTACTAGGCTCTCTATTCTTTAATGGCAGTTTATGAATGCTTTGCTTATCATTTTCACAGATCTTGAAATTTCGATTGCGTATCACTGGCAGACTAGGACTGCGTATGCGTTGCCCCTGGCTATTCTGAATGCGTGGGTTGGCCGTTTGCAAAGCATTCATGACCAATGGTTCTGCGTAACGATGTCTCCGATTACCTGGTACGTGATAAGTCATTGTACTTGTCGTGCTGTTACGTTGTCGTGGTGCAAGCGATTTATTATCTATAGCCTGCAAAGCATAGCTACCTTTACGAAGTCTTACAAAGCCTTGTGAATCAGTGACATCTTCAAAATCTGCCTCATACATTCCATCGTCATCGTCTGTATAATCATAGCTTATTCCACGTCTTATATTAGCTCGTTGCCCTGGCGTTACTTGCTGTCTTGGAACTACGGCGTATTTATTCATTTGCTCTCTTTGATACGGTATGTGTTGATTTAATTCTATGTTTGTAGGTGGGTGTGACTTTTCTTTTTGATATAAATTTTGTTGCGGATTATGCTGATTAATGGTGGAGGACTCGTGTAAATCCAAATTTGAGTAATAAGTGCGTATGGAAGTGCGTTCGATTTTGTGGTGGTGTGTCGAGGAAGAGTGCATAGAAGAAGAAAACATTTTATCCAAACGAGCAATTTCCTCTAAAATCAATCGATCAATATAATCAAAAAAAAAAAAAAAACAAAAAAAAAAAAACCGAAAGAAAAAGAAAAAAATACGTTAAGGATATTATTCTTGCCTTCATTTCTTTCATTTACCTCTTTCTTTAGCCCATTGCTGCTTTTTCAAATCCAATAATGTTTGAGTTTGACGGCCTTCAGCACCAGTAATCATAACTTTCCACCAACCCTTCCCTTCACTCTAGTAGTTCATTGTACTGGGCAAAATTTATTCACATTAAACTTGTGTTTTTTATTTACTTTTGTTTTTTATTAAGAATGATATCCGTAAATACCTTTGCACCACTTAAAGTCTGGGTAAAGACTAAACTTTATATTGTAGTTTGTGTAAATCCTTCAACGAAAATATTTAAAATTCCTTCAGATTTGTTTAGTCGGTTTCCTTATAAACTTGTTGGCTTGATTTGCTTATGATTATGATATACACTCGTTCAAGTTTGTGTATTGGCATGTTTGTGTTGCCGTAGTCCTTGGCAACTTACATAAAATACTGTTTAAAAAAAACGCTGCTACATAGTTTGTATCCTAAGTTGCCTTAAATTGTGAATGAATTTTGTTGTGGATCGAAGTTACTATGCACGGCCAAAAAAACCCCTATGGTAATAGCGGAAATATTTGAGTGGCAGGTATTTCGTGTGTAAGTAAATTCTATTTAATATCATTGAGGTTAAATACCAATAAAACAATGGCGTTTTCGTTGCCTTAAAGTGCTCTTATAACAGCTCCTGTAACTTTAAACAAAATTCCCTTCACCCACGCGAAGCGAGTAGAACCCCTACCCGACTTACATACTTTCAAACTTTAAGCAATTAATCTGCGCGCATAGAAAGTCTTCAATAATCACTAGATATGCTGGACAGCTTTGAATGTCTTTTAAGAAGTTTAATTATATTTAATAAATTTATTTTGACTTCCGAAAGCTTCTGAGTCCTGGATATGAATATCCAAAATATACCAGGGAGTTTAGCAACGCCCTTTCATACGCAACGCTAGACAAGCCCGGAAGTTCTTACTTCTTCTTGCCATAGGCAAAAGTGTAGAAGGGAAAATACATAAGCGGAATATCGCAATAATTTGTAAAAATCGTACCAAATCCTTTATTTCGGTGATGAAAAATGGTGTATGATGCAAGCAATGCAAACAGATTTAATACAGAATCTGTTTTAGGGTCATTTATACAACGTTACGAAAGTTTTTTTTTAATTCAAGTCATTTCAAGGGGTTTGGGAAAACTCATTTTCGGGCATTTCGCCTCATACAATAACTCTCTCTAATAATCGCTGAATGAATCCAGTTCATTGCGCATAAGATAGCTTGTAGTTAAGATATGTTAAGTTCAAGTGAAGGCATGCAGCATGAAGATGGACTTGAGATAAACGCACTAATCGATTCAACGTCATTATCTGAATCGATTTAAACACACCTGTTCCCACGCCCCTCTTTCCGTCTGCTAACTAATGTCTTTTCCATTCTTGTACTCGCAATTTCGAATTTTTTGGGCGAAATTTGCTGCACTGTCATGTTTTGGCATAAAAGCGAGCGCTATTCCCTACGATTTTAAAAAGTCACTCTATGTAAGAAAGACAGAAATCAATGAAAAATAGTATTTTGGTGAGATAAATAAGATGAGAGATGAGATAAGATGGGATGCGGTCGTCTTTTGAACGTCCGTTTCATATGAAATTTCTTTGTAAAAATTGGCTCGGATATGTCAAGTTTCTCTAAATATTAGTATTTAACATTAATTACATTACGTTGTGTAAGTTTCGCGCCTACGCCTCTCCCTGTAAAAGTTCTCATCAAAATTAAGGAAAGAAAGTCGAATTTTGTACTTCGTGACGAACACCGCTGAACGATAATAAGTTCTTTGGAAAAGAAACTCACTGCTAAACTGAGACGACTTCGAATCGCCTGTTGAACGCATAGACTCCATGCAAGGATTCTTACGACAAATAAGCCTTTACAAGGAGTCTCCCATATAAAATCTTGAATCGAAGAATACCATACTTAGGCCAGGGTATAGAGTGGCCTAGGACTCAATATCCGCCCGTCCGCTGAGTAAGTTTGATGTGTGCGTCTACCTTCTCTATGGGGCTTACTCTGAGCACTTCTTTAATATAACCGCTTGTGAACTATCTGTGGGAGGAAGAGTGTAATCCACCCATTACTGTCGAATTTCCGGGCTTTTCAGTGCTGTGATCCGACCTTTTTGACCTTTTTTCACTTGTTACACAGGAAGATACAATCTCAGATCATAAGTATTTATGTTATAAAAAAGTGACGCCCAACGTGAGGGCAAAAGAATTACATTTTCAGATCGCAGGCATCCATGTTACAAAAAAGGTATATCTTATCACAAAAATGAATGAAGAATTTGATAAAGCGAAGTGCTTTGGGCTCTTTAAGGCTCCTTCGGACGCGAAAAATGTCAATGAGCTGCAGAAATAAGAAAGCTGCGTTTTTACCAACCATTTACGAGGTTCGAAACTGGATTTATATCTTGTAAGGGTAGTCAAAACATCATACTATATACAATGCAATGAGAGCAATAAAATCCCCATCGATATGGATCACATTTTTTTCAGCTAGGATGACTTGAATGCAATAGCATTTATTTTTAGAATGCGTGGAAAAGAAAAAATCTATTTATTTATGATTTGATGAGATTGTTTATACAGCATTCGAGAGATAAAAAAATTCAAAAACTATTATTTTCAAGAAGCCATATCCAACACAACTGGTGTCTTTGAATCACGTATCTTCTTATAAACGCATATGGAAATATCTATTGGCTTAAAGAGTTTTCTTTCTGCTACGCCCATCGAAGACGAATCCAAGCTAAAGTTTGGTATTTCTATGGTATTTTCATTTCACAAGCAAGATGTACCTTCTAAGCCATTTGAAATGTCCCTTAAATTTACGCGAAAGCCTTCACATCCTATCACACGGATATATTTATCAAATTTATTGCTTCAATCGGATTATGGCATTTGTTATCAGAATTGCATCAGCAAAGCTATATGCCATGTACACGGTATATAATTATCATGTGCCAGAGAGGTTAAAACTAACGTATATTTATAATTCGACTGAAGGGGATTCTTATGTAATTACCTTACTCGATAACAATCATGACAGAACATTCCTGACGACAATAATAAAAAAGTTACGTGGTTAAGAATGTCGTCTTCTTCGTTCTTCTAAGCGCATTGAAGGAATCATTAAAAGATTTCAAAGTCAGCATTAATGCATTCGCGTATGTCGAGCTGCATGGGCAGGCAGTACGTGCTGTTAAGTTAACATCATTGCTTCCGCGTTGAACTATTTCAGTAATACGCTTACCTAAATCTTGATCTGGATTAAAATCATCAAACAATCTCAAAATACGCTTGTTAAGTGCATTCATTTCGTTTCAAGAAAATTTTCGATCTCCTAGACAGCTATTGTTTTCACTTTGTGATTAAATATCGCACTGAAAAAAGTAACGTAAACGCTTAAATTTTCAGAAAAATATTTCACTATTGAAAGGATTTACTTTTCCTTCTAAGCATTCATATCATGTTGTCTCAATGTCACGGCCTAAGTGAGTTTGCAAACATATGGATGGAAAGTTTTCCATTACGTTGAATGTATAATAATTACGAGAAATTAAGGTTTTATTGAGTTAAACGAATAATAATTGATTTCAAGAGTGTTGTGCCGTTAATGGTATAACGTTTACGTTCGCGAACATATTAATAGTCGCTGGTGCTTGGTTAAACTGTGCTCCCACGTTTTTAATACTTTTTTTTTTTTTTGCAAAAGAGATTTCATGCCTTGGGCTTAACTGGGATAATAATGGTAAGGCTCAAGAATTGAAAAGAATTCAAAAAATTTGTGCGAGCTTTTTGCTTAAGTGCTTAAAAGATAGGCGAGACTGGATTTAAAAGTTTCGCTGAGAAAAGCTTATGAGTTTCCTAATGCAACTAAAAGTTGCATGTAGCATAATTGTATATTATGTATGTAGCATAATTGTACATTAAAAAAATTTCATTTGCGTTTAAAAATTGAAGCTTTCGAAGCCTTACCCCCTTTTTTATTGATTATTGAATACGAAGCAAATATATCCATGCGCACATATGTGTACACAAAAGAGAATTGTTGGACGCATTTTTATAAACAAAACTAACACAAATGAAATTGAAGAATGCATTAAATACAATTGTTTCATGTGCACCGTATATTTTAAATCAAATTTCAGTGGGAAATTTTGTGCCGATAAAACCAGTTTTGGAATGACTTCAAGTATGCGTGTGAGTCTGAATTTGGGATAAAGACGAGCATGAAGTGAAGGCTTTAATTTACTTTTTCAAGCTGATCGAAACTGTTTACACATTAGATCGAAGATCTATGGTCCTATACATTGTAAACGCTTTAGTGACCATTAAGCTTGTCGGCCATTCATCTATGGCTATGCGGTATAAGTTTGCCACATCACGACGACTGTTACAAACGGTGTGTAAATGATGTAATAGAATAACAAGGAAAATTTTATTGTGCTGTAGGACGACAGGTAAAATGCTGGATTCGTAATGGAGCGAGCTTAAGGTAGGTGCAAGAAAAGCACTATTTATAAGCAGATAAGAAATATAGCTTGATACCCATTTGTGATCCGACTTGAAAAGAAATGCAATAATGAAATGTACGGCCAACATCACAAGATCAAGAGTGAATTTATTTTAACACTAGATAGATAACAATGATCATATCGCGTCGTACGATGACGTAGCAGTTCAAACTTTTCATGAACGTACTTTTATATTTGATCGATCGCTTTAAAAGTTAAACGCAGTTGAGAACGAGTCATGTTTTCAAAACAATATTCGCTATAGTTTGGGGTTTTACCAAAGAAAAAGCAGAAATGCTGCTAGGTTGCTGAAATCTTTTACGCTTTTGCTAACAACTTTCATGTCAAAGACGCCGCTTGCTCTGGTCAACAAATTACTGAAAAATATTGCAAAAACCTCGAAGAACGCAGATAGATATCTTGATCGGTGGAAAATTTGAAGTCCAATAAGGAGTTTCTGTCAACTGAATTTAATCGTTGCTGAAGCCAGGCGATACTTTGCCACCTCTGAAGGGATCGCGATAATAGGCGAACTTGGTTTGGGAGAG